AAAAAAAAAAAAAAAAAAAAGTCATGGAAGTCTATTCACTAAATAGAAAACTCCATGAAAACCTCATTTTTCAGTGTTTTTGGAGAACCATCGAGTGTAATGGTTCTCTATTCAAGAATGATTCCACATTTTTCAATCTCATCACAATCTTGAACTATAAAAATTAAAAACTACTAAATTTATATCGCATATGAATGCAAAACCGGAGAATTTCACTGTATCCACTGCATTACTCCGGTGAACTACGTCTTCACCACAATCTTGCTTGGTCATATACAAAGCAAGTGAAAAGTACAAACACAATGGCATACATCGTCAAAACTCTCCAAATAAAGACCGGGTCACGGTCAGGCCGGTCCTTCCCCATATCTATGCAGCTGGAACCTTTTTCCCGTCCTCAATTAAGAAAATGGCAGTTTCCGGTACCTTCAAATACCGAAAAGAAAAAGGATAAAAACTTGGGGACTTGAATGTTATATAATAAGTGACTTGGATGAAAACATGCGAGTGTAATCGAAAATATGCAAAATAAGGCTTCTATTATTTTATCCACGAGAAGATTAACTAGCCGTTTCTTGTGGCCCTTGATTGCAGTACACATATGCAAACATATGAAACAAAATAATGACCGAAAAGAAATTTGATTACATCTGGCCAGGTATCTGTGATGAACTCCACTATGTCATAGGAAATATCTCCTTGAACATCAATCTGCTCCTTCTCAGTCGGACCCTGCCACGAAATACAAACGAAAACGAACTAAATTGATTTACATACTCCGATACTTTAGTGTCCGAAGAGTTTCAGATCACAAAATAACAACCTACCTTCACAACAGAAGCTCCAGTAGCAAACTTCTTGCCAAGCTTCTTAGATGCATCATTTAGTTTAACCCCTGAAAGATGAGTTCTACTTCAATTCGGAAACAAACATTGTCATTCAAGCACGTGTAAAAAATAGAGAAATCAAAAGAAAGCATCATTTTACCAAAAAGCTCTAGGCCTTTCACAGTGGTTATACATTTCCGCTTGTTGCGAGTCACCTTTTCGATAATAACTTCCTGCTTCTCCTGCAACAAAGTCGATTGGAATCCTATTTTATCAGCATTTACTGAAGCATGCAAAATGCATATAAATCCTAGATATACACTTCTTCTAGTCCTCAGAATCTCCTCGGTTTAATGGATAGAAGTATAATCGTTGATCCAACTAATTCACTTTTTTTTAAAAAAAAAAAAAAAAAAAAAAAAAAAAAAACATATATAGCTGTTGCAATTCTCCCTACCATACATCAATACAACAACAACAACAACAACAACAACAACAACATATCCAGTATATTCCCAACAGGTTGGGTCTGGGGGGTGAGTTGTACGCAGACCTTACCCTTGTAATTATACAAGGAGGCTGTTTCCGTAGCGACCCAATGTGCATTGCGTCGTTTGGTATATTATTTTCTAGAGACTTCACTAATAGAAGAAACACTAGAATTTAATTTAGTCATTTTGATCTAGTCCATTATTAGCACTATGCTAGGAGAATTGTCAACAATAACTCTTCCAGCTCCATTTGCAATGGACATTCCTACCATACATCAATAGCAGCCACATATTCTCTCTAACCTAAATGGACCTACTTTCATCTCATCGAAGCGTGTTCAAATCGGTCCACCTTTCTCCATTCATTTTACAATATTATCTTTCCAGATCAGATGGAAGTTTCTTAAGACGCCAAAGCTCACCAGACTTAGTATCAACAAGGGAGATTACAACACTTTTAAAGCTCTTTCAAGCATTCCCAGTGATGCAAACTTAATGCGTAAAAATCTTATATAACAAAAGGATGAATTAACAAAGTTTGCCAACATTATTAAGTATCACATGGAACATAACACTCCTAATTTCTGAGTAGAGCAAAAAAAAAAAGGGAATATACACAAAAGAAAAGAAAGGTTCGAGCCACACCACACTGAAGCCAAGGCAAAAGGTACAATCTGTTCCATGCTTGTCATATCATCGATTGTCAGTGTCTGGCCTCATGAGTTTTTAAACAAAGTAATAACCAGTTCATGCACAGTTCATGCTAAAATAATGATTGCCAAACTCTAAGCGAATCTACACAAGGACATATCGAACGGAGCTCAATAATCTACATTCCAAGTAATTTCAAGCTCATAATGAATGTCTACAATAAAAAATAAGCTACTCCAAGGCACTTGCTATGTGCTCCAAATATGAACCTAATTTTTAACACAAGGGAATTCGGCATTGTGACGCACTTCAAACATGATTCTCAAACGATGGCATAGTAATAAAGCATAGAAGAGCAAGTCAAAAATGTTACATTTCATTGGTAGATAACCATAATGAAATACTTATTATTATAGAATAAAATGTCTCGAGTCTTACCTTCTTTTTTATCTTCCCACCTGGCAGACGCTTAACTTCTTCTTTCGGTTTTGAAGGACCAGCTGCAGACGAGGGAGTATTTCAACACAACATATCCTAATGTTCAATTAATAAACAACCACCATATCATTTGTTCATAACCAAAGCTAATTATCCACGAGGTAGTGACACGACAAAAACTCTTGACTTATACCACCAAAAAAAAAAGATAGCCCATCTATTTCCAATAAATAAGTAAAATACAATCTCACTACCCCCACATCCTGACCCGACACTAAATTCGAACAGTTACAATGACATTCATGTTTTGGGTTCATCACAAAACTACTTAACTATGATACAATTCCCACAACAATGAGGACGGTTGGAAAAGCAGACACCGATAAAACGACAAAAATTCACCAACTATTCCCTTCAATTCATCAGCTTTCAATTCATCAGCTATGAAAGACAAGATTTACTTCCCAGCAAGGCTAGGAATTTGAAGATTCAAAACTAAGCTCCAGAATTTTTTATAAAATTAAAAATAAATAAATAAATAAATCGTAGCTGGCTACTACGCTAACATATGGAGTTACATATCACAAACCCATCACAGGAAATGACACGAACCACATCAGAACACAAACTGAAGCAAAATTCGAACAACTAAATGGTAATAAACTGTACCATCGGACGATATAGAAGCGGACTGAAGCTGACCCGATACCTTATCGACGTCCTTCGCGCCGGCCTCTGAAAATCAGGTGCAAAAAATGAAAACAAAACGTCAAAAAGCACCGACCTTTGGCATAAACAATCCAAATAAGTTTAGGATTTTCTTAATCGGGGCTTTGGGCGGACAACCTTTGAGGAGATCCGGATAAATGTCGGGCGCGTTGTGGATCAACCAGGGCTTACATTTCTCGAAGTCCGACCCGAATTCGCAGTACTCGGGCGGCAACCCGCACACTCCGCAGTACAGAACCTTAACCGGCTGGGGTTTCTCCGCCATTGCTGGTGAACGAGCTCGGGTGCGTGTACGCGGTTAAGAAGGACTGTTTGATGGGCGGACGATCAAAACGACAGCGTTTTGTGGTGTCAAATTAAAGGGTGGAATATATTCTTTGGTATTTTTACTGAATGGAACCTTAAAAAAAACAACCACCTAAAAGCTCTGGAACGCACTCTTGTTACGAGTTTTGATTACAATTGTAACCTACTTACCAAAATACGGTGTTTATATTTTCTATTAAAATGTTAGGTTATTTGGATTACTCTTCCACAAAATGTGTTCTCTTCATTTTTCTTGTATGATGATTATCTTGAAGTGTAGTAGTTTTGCCGTTTGCGTGGAGTTATTTTGAGAGTCGGTTTAAGGAGTTCGATCCAAACCACCAATATCTCTCTTATTCTTATAAGGAAAAATGTCTTCCCTTTGTAAGGCCGCCACGTGGCACGCTTATTCCTTTCTTCTGACGCCGCGTGGTAGAATTGCCCCCATTTTAAAAAGCTCTTTATTATTAGGCCCTACTTTTCCTTTTGGACGTTTTTCATATCAGTTCTTTTCTTTTTATTTCTTCCTCAGGGCAAAACGACGTCGCACAAACAATTTTTTTTTTTTTTTTTGGGAAAATTGGCATCAATAATTAAGAGATGTCTTTTTTATTATTTGTTACTAAAGAATTCCATCGAGCAGGAACAGGTAACTTTGGGAGCGACCTTCTTTTTACTCGACGAAACCCTGTCCCTGTAACATTTTCTTCTGCGCAGAGGGAGAGAGACCACTCAATTCAAAGAAAATCAAAGAACAAAATGGAGATTTAGGGTAGAGATACGGTGGTTGGGCTTCGTCGTATTGCGTCAATCGTGCTCGAGTTCATTCAATTGAGTCGAAAAGTTTGTCCGATTTCACGGCCGTGGAATTAAGGGCGCCAGCGCTTGTCGCTTAAGTTGTGGTCGTGTTCTGCGCCGATAAGCGCAAATATGTGTATTAGCAGGGAGGGACGGCTTGGGAATGAGTAAAATTATGCACTGAGATTGGACGGGCTGAGGTTTATAAACACTGGTAGCAGCCCACAGGTGAGCCGTCAACAATCACTCACATATTGTTAGTTAGAATTTATTCAATCGATTTTGGTTTGGTCGTAGTTTCGTTGCTTTCTGTTTGAATGTTGGTTGCTCTTTTTAAGTTGGTGCTTTAAAAGAACCCTTCAATGTTATGATTAATTTGTGCTTTTTGTTTGCTTGTCTCTAATCGTCTGGTTGTTTTTTAATGGCATTTTCTTATGGTTCATTTTTGCGTTCTCCTTGTTGGAATATTTCTTTATCATCTATGCATCATCGGGTTGGGACCGCAGCTCGCGTTCGCAGACGCCAGGGTGTGTGGATGTATCATGTATCCCACCGTTGCAGGTTGCTGATGCCGAGAAATAAAGGTTGCGAAGCTTCTTTGGCTAGGTGGCAGTCCAAAAAAGAATGTGTTGAGGTCCCATGTTGGTTTGGTCATTTCTGCACCGACATCTGCTTCCATCGGCCGTACGCACCTACGGCAGGGGTCACAGTTGAATACAACAGGCACTATTTCAACGACACGTGCAGGTAGTTATTTAAGATTATCCAGTTCCTAAAAAACCGTTACTTTAGGCAGTTAGTTGAGTTGTTATCGCCTATCAGTTGAGTTGTTGTCCTTTTCCTTTTTTGTAATCATGTTTTGCTCACACCTGTTGCTTTTCGTTTTGCAGATCAATTTGAAGGTAGAAACCGTGCCTCCACCAGTAGAAGCAACTGTGCAGGTCTTCGACTTGCCTTGTTCTTCTTTATATGGCTTGATGCTTAAATATAGTCTTTGCTCTTGTATGCTTTTATATGCATTTGTATGCTGCCTAAATATACTGCTTTGGATGGTGTGTAGACTTCTTGCCTCTACATGATGCATCAGACTCTACTTCACCGGTTGCACAGGTGTTTATTTGTGATTATCCTATTTCTTTTACAGGGGCTTTGTTTTGCCAATTATAGGTCTTGCTTTTTTTTATTTTTTTTTTTCATGTGGGTGTTGAGCTCTTATCTGGTCATCTTGGTTTTGCAGCTCCGCCTGCAGGTGTAGTAGGTGCCTTTATTGGCTGGAACAATTTCAACAATTTCGCAATCTACATCGTTTTGATGATACAGATAACCTACAAAGTAAGTGGCTTTCCTAATGAATACATTGTTGATTAGTTGATGCTTAATCGTTTGAGTTTTATATTAAATTTCATATAATTAGCAGTATTATTTTTCTTTGTAGATGTTCTTGGTTGTGGCATACGCGATTGAAAAAAAGCATATTCGGTTTGATTCAGTCAACAGAGATATTATTATTGTTAATGAAGAGTAAGTTTAAAGTACTATTTGTTTAAATCTTACAAACTCTATTAATTCCTTTTCCTAAAACTAATGCCATAAACTAATTAGTGAGTAATTTTAATGAACTTTGTACTTGGCATGGCTTCGATTATCTGTTGTCTTTTGCCTTATAATGCGGCGGGAACCTGTGTGTATTTGTAGAACGATACTTAGAGATCGCTCTAGGCAAGGAAATTGTTCGTGGATGTACTGCAAGAGTGCCGAGGATAAGGACAGAGGTCGGGACCACAACCATGGCCAAAGAAATTCACCACTGAAGATCGCAACTGATTTTGGTTTGTGTTTCTTATACCAAATCTTGCTCTTACTTCCCCCAATGTTCTTCGGTTGAATATTCCAAGCAAAATTCCCTTTTTTTCTCTAATTATTATGCTTACTTGTTGTAAATTTAATGTGAATTATTGATGAAGTTAAGACTTGTTTTCTGACTCAGAATCTTATTTGCCAGCTGTTTGTGATTCTTTATATAAGTATACTTGCTACGCTAATAATATTCGATAAGAAAATGTGATGTCTAATTCTTTGGTTGTTGCTGCTGGAAAAACTTGTGAAAGAATATTTTGGTCTTCTGATGTTGGATGTAACTCTGCACAATGGGAGCCTAATCGTACAACATGAAGTTCATTTATATAATTTACGTAATGTGTCAATATAGTATTTCACGTCCGGTTCTTTCAACATATATCGAGATTTTTTTGTAAAGCATTCTGGCTACTGTGCCTATTTTTATTTTCATGAGGCGAGCATACACTTAGTTATATATATATATATATATATATATATATATATATATATATTGTAATAAAATACAATAGGCTCCTGTTATGTTATAGAGTCAAATAATAGATATAAGAATGAGCTTTGACTCCCTCACTTCAGTATGCATTCATTCTTTAAGAGAAGGGTTTGTGAAAAATAATATTAATAAGTAGAAATGAAAATAATGTGATTAAAAATGTGTGATTCAAAGCTTCATTTCATTGCATGTATTGTCATGCGCCAATTTGTAGAAGCACTTGTTCCTGCTATCTAGCTGCGGTGACCATGAGGACATATGATTCCAAATACAACTCAAGTTTTCAAAGATGTCGTTTAGGTATAAATTTTGACTTTGGATCTTTTTTACAGTTTTATATTCTTTTTCTTATTTAATAATTTATAGCAAAAAAAATTAAAAAAAAAACAAATACAAAACTTTTGCGCTTAGTGATATTCGTAGTTCTCTTTATAAGATACCTATTCGGTGAAAAAACTATAGCCACATTCTCTTGTTATTCTTCCTAATGTATCTCCTTTCAGGTTAAGGTTCGTTCAACTGTGGAACAAGCGATTGCTGAGTTGCGGTCAAGTGGTGTCATAAGTCGAAAAACAGCTATGTATATTTAGAGACAATATTTATTTCCTGCTCATACTTGAAGATGTTTACTATTTGAATTTCACTCACGACTTTATATTGAAAAGTGAAGTTGGATGCTCACGTAGTTATGGCTTATGCAATCTCTATGTCTCTGCTCAACAAATGAATGGCATGTGCATGTCACTTGTGGAGAGATTACTTTGACGTTCGAATATTCATTCACCATAAAGTGATTACTTAGAATGCAAAATTTATCAATGATATTATCTATCTTCAGCGTTCGAAGCCTGTGTGTTGTCCAACAAACAAGTGAATGCCTTTCATGTAATCGAACTATAGTAAATTTCATTTAGCTAAACTCTTTGCTGCTTATTTATGCATAATGATGTAGTTTGCTTTTCATTTTGCTAAAAGAATAACTATTAGATAATTATTGTCTAAATGCAAGCCGGCTGTGCACAGCCGGAATCACACTAGTGGTCTTATATACCTAAAAGTTGTTCTTTGTTTGCTTTAATTCCAAGCTCACTTAACTTTTTACATTCTCAATACTCTACATCATCTAAACTTTATTCTCACTCTTAATATCACAAACCTCCAATATCCATAAACCTCACAATTCACAAACCTTCTTTGAGTGGGCCCCCATGTTTCCCACATCTACACCACAACACCAGGTTTATATTTGCACTCCCGCTTTACAACCTCACACTCTCATTTCTCCTCTTTAACCATAAAGCTGTGGGAGTTGGGGTTTTCAAACCTCTCCAAAAAGCTTCCATTAAAGTTGCTCTAAGATAAATGTTGGTACAATAATTCAATATTTGTTGAATCCATGTGTGAAAATAGTTATTTTCAACCTAAAATAAAGATACATTTAATTTTTCACACAATTATATTAAAATTTATGTTTTATAGCCCACATGGTGCGGCTACATGATGCAATCATGTGGAACAATCATCTGGAGTGATTTTGTTGTGCGATTGTATTGTGTGATCACGTAATGCAATCACATCATGGTGTGATCATATTATGCAATTATGATACGATCATGTTGTGTGATCATGTTCTGTGATCATGATCGTACAATCTTGATTGGAAAATAAATGTTTTGAAAGAAGTCGTGAAAATATAAGCATAATTCATTTTTCGGGTGAAAAAAATGTATGTTTTCTGTATCTATTGCTTTCAGCAACTTGTTATGTCTTGCTTGTGTGGAGGGGTCAGTGGCAGATCCATTAAAGGACCA